GAGGTACCCCGAAAGTAAGAGTAGAGGAGTTAGAAGTAGAATTATTGAGAACAACAGAAGAAAAACGATTACAGAGATAAGAAGAAAACCAAGATAGACAAGAATCAGTAATATTAAAAGAAAGATGCAGCAGTCTCAAGAAAATAGTTTGGTCAACAGTATCAAAAGCTGATGAAAAGTCAAGAGCAAGAAGAAGAGTAAGATTACTATTGTCACTAGAGAGAAGGATATCATTGTGTATTTTAAGCAAAGAAGTTTCAGTACTGTGAGCAGGTCTGAAACCAGATTGAGATACAGGTAGCAAAGAGTTAAAGTCTAAATAGGATGAGAGTTGATTAAAAACAACTTTTTCTATTATTTTATTTAATACTAAATATTTTTTAGTGAATTGACTAAAAATTAATTTTAAGTTTTTAACTATAATAATCATATAATACATTTATGAATATAATCAATTGATTAAAAATATAATATGATAAAAAAATAATTTTATTAATAATAATTTAATTTTATTAATTAATATTATAATATTATTTAACTGCCTTATAAATATTGTGAACTACTTTCTGACATTGCTTAACTTTAGAATTTAGGTTTACACTGTTTTGAGTTTGCACATCCTTGCCAGTTGAGGCATTGAACTTGTACATATACAACATGAACATAATAATGTTTCAATAACTAATTTAAATTTTAAAACAATAAATTAAATAAACCTATGAGTCTATACTGAATAAATTTAAAATAATTAATGTTCTTATAAGTCAAATAATGTATTAAACCTTGTAAAATAAAAAAAAGATAATAATAAAAAAACAAATATAAATAAATAAATTAATTACATATTCTAATCAATAAATTGACGATAATATCGATACATACTGATAAAATAAAAATTGAATATATCCCAATCTCACAAATAGCCAATGTCACATCAAGTATCATTTGCCCTCCAATTATACATAAATCTGGCTTTCATAACATAAGTATCCAACTTTTTTTTTAAATCATTCACATTATCAGCATTCACAACATCGACACCCAGATTGTTCCAGATACAAATTGATCTATTGATAAAGTATTGTTTCCTCAAGTTCTTATGGAATGGAAGAGCAGTCAATTTCATTTCGTGTCCTCTTGTTCGTCTCCCAGCTTTCATCATTACCGGAGGTCACGTTGATCTTTAGCTCTAAACAAGTTATACATCATGATGAAATCCCCTCTAATGCGTCTATATTTCAGTGTTGGCAAGCTCAAAAATTTTAGACGATCTTCATATTTCATATGTTTGCAGGCATTGATCGACTTTGTTGCTCTTTTCTGGACCCTTTCTATCACCTCTGTTTCCCGTACTGTCCACGGAGACCAAACACAAGCTGCATACTCTAGTTGAGATCTGACTAAAGCATTATAAAAATATGATCACTAACAACTTTAAAATTTCTAATTATTAAACCTAACAAAGAATAAGCTTTTTTAACATTGTATAACATCGCATAAACTGATGAAAAAAAGTCAGCCAACATATCTGCCATTTCCTGTTGATCAGTCACAATTCTTTCCTTCTTACCACCTTTATCCACCCGATACAAACCATCCAAATAAAAACTGTCTTTTCCATTACTGCCTATGTGTTTCCAAAATACCTTCTGATTAATCTTCACTATCCGACTACATCCCATTAAGTTAATTAAACTTTATATTTTAAATAATAATAATAGTAATAATAATGATAATAATAATAATAATAATAATAGTCACAACATTAATAATACTAGTAATAACGGTAGTAAACAAAATAACAACGAAAATTAACTATTAATATTTATTAAAATCTTAATTGTTTGATTATTAATCATTGTCAATAAAATTTATAAAGAATTATTTTGTAGTATTGTATTTGTAAAATATTAAAAATGAGTCAACGCTTGAAAGAAGACTTGCGAGCGTGCGGAAGGCCGGTCCGTACGCCCGGCAAGATGGGCGAAACATCTTTTTTGCCCGGCCCGTATATTCCGACCCTGAGGTCGGTAGAAGATATTGTAAACCGGCGAGTCCCGGCCAAGGGAATGACCGCCTGAGTGAGGAAGGTGAGGGTGTGCGGTATCGAGCGACATGTGGCGTGTGCGATTACCACGGTGCTGATGACCGACACCGACCCTACCGTGTCGACGATCGCCGACGCAGCGAGGATAGCGACGGCGACGAGCGCGTCGATGGAAGAGGCGGTATGGGAGAACACCGCGGCATCCTTCACGGTGTCGACGAAAACTCTACATAAGTATTTTCGCTCCATGGAAAAGTAAAGTGTAGATATTAAGTGCTTAAGTTACACTAACTTTAGCTGGGTCGTACAAAAAACTCTTTGTATGCCAATGTGTTTTTTTTTATAATTTTTTAAATCATTCTTTTCATTGACTAAAAAAATCGAGTTGATTTGAGCATCATCTTTTGTAAAAATGCCAATCAAAGTTGACGAGTAAAACAGTCTATTTATCCAGCGCCGGCCTTAGCATTTTTGACAGGTAGGGCAAAACTTGCTTCTTTGTATTATTGATGTTGCCAATGGAAGGTTGGTAGCTTAACATTAACGAACGAGTACAAGCGAAACTACTACGCACAAATTTTAGATATATGCCAAAGAGATTTTTTTATTAGTTTTTAATCTAATTAATCAAGATTTTTAAAGATGTTTTATTGAAAATAATTGAATAATAAGGCAATGGAGCCCAACTAGATGAATTTTATAACAGCGTTTTTATTACACCGATAACAATTCTAATTAAATCAGTAAAATATTGAATAAAGTTATTAAAATAACTAAAGTGAGGAAATGGCTTCTACAAAGATGGTAAAAAACCAAAGAATATTCTTTTTTGGAGACCAATATTTTTGCCTTTCATATTTGCACTGTTGTCGTACCCTTGCCCTCGACAAAGGCTTATATTCAGCCTAAATTCTTTTAAGGCTCCATTTATGATTTCTTTAAGACCAAGACCCGTCGAGTCGTTAACGGCAAAAAATACCAGGAAATTTATAGGATATTCTGATATGAGCGAAAGTTGTTCTTTCTGGGATGTCAGCAGTGCAGTCAACAATAATAGAATAATATTTAACCTGTATAACTTTGGATATAGTTATGTTTGTTACTTTTGATGCAATTACATATACCATTTCATTTTAAATAGTTTTTCAACAGCAGTGATCAGAAATATTTCCTTTAAGAGCTAGCGTGACATGGTTTAACATTATTATTATTATTATTTATTATTATTATTATTATTGGCGTGCCCTATAACGGAACGTTGCCGTGTTCACAAGGTGCCTTCATTTCAACCGATCATGAGCAAGTCTCCAGGCCGAGTAAGGACCGTAGTTGATGAGGGACAGTTACTTCTCTACTGAGCGGATCCATGACTGTCTTGGACGGCCGCGCGGTCGAGTCCAGTCCGGTGGCGGGCAGTCTATGACAGCTTTTAAAGCCCGGTAATGATCCTCCATGGGACTGGCACGAGCTATGTAACCAAAGAAGTTTAGATGACGCCTGAACAGGAGTAAGGAAACGGGGGGCTGCTGTGTTGTTCTCCTCACCTCAACATTGGTGACGCGATCGTGGTAGGTCAGACGAAGAATCCCTGTGCAAGCACCATTGATCTGTAGCGTCTAGCCTCTTCAAATGAGCGCCAGTAGTTGACCACGCCTCGCATCTATAAAGTAGCACGGGGATGATGTATGCGTTATACAATCGAACTTTGGTCGTCACCGAAATGTCCGAGTGCCATATACCACGATCCAAGGACCTCATACACGCGCGGACAATGATGATTCGACGCGAAATTTCAGCATCACTATTTAACATTATAGGATAAAATTTTCCATTATTAACTGTAAATATAATTTATCATAAGAACATCTGAAAGCCATATTATCTGTTGCCAAAATGTAAAGTAATACACATCAATCGCTCAAGAAAATTTCGCGTTCTTAAACTTTCTTTTTTGGATGCTATTTCATTTATTTCTAAAGAAGCAGAGTTGAATCACTACGTCTAATTACATAATTTCTTTTCTTTTATTACATTAGAATCACTCGAGTTATTTTTCGATTTAAAATAACTTTGAAGTTTTTTATAATTTTTCTTGAAATCGTCAATTTTTTCTGCATTATGTTTTCTATACTCAGCACCAGATGAATTTTTATTATGAGTTTTGGAAAAAAATTTTCTTAACTATCTCTAACGGATACAAGCGCACATACTGAATTTGTTACAAATGTTACTGGGCAGATCAAAGAAAGAAAATTTTAATTTGTTGAGTCTGGCCGGGTAAATTGACCGTGCTACAATAATAACAATTGGTAGGATAAAGATTTGTACATGAGATTATTGACGTGGAAAGTGATGTTTTTTCCTGAGTTGATTTTTTTTTATTCTTTAAAAATCAGGATCTGACAGACGCAGAAACTTTAACAACATGCAAGGTAGTAAAACAAAATTAAACAAATATGTGAGAAAATAAATTGAGTTTGACGGAAAAAAACATTTTTTAAACGTTTACTAAATAAAATGAACACCTGAAATAGTTCGATAAATGTCTCTATCATAAAATTGACTGCCGACTTGTTGAGAGTAAATTTAGAGTAAATGCTGAGCTATGCTGTTTTAAAAAACTTTCTTGGTAACCAACAATTTGCTGGTTTTAAAATCAATTACTTTTTCGGCTTTTTGAAAGAATGATGACTTCTTTATAAATTTCTATTTCTGAAACCTTTTTTGAATATGATTTTCAGGCTCGATGTTTTATTAAAAACTCGATTTCATAGCATTTTACATAAAATTAATAAGCTTTTTTTCTATAATTTTTAGCTTTTCAATAACATTAGAAAAATAATTTAAGATTCGCCATTCGGGACTGCTTTTAAAGCACATTCACTTGAGAGAAAATTTTTACGGACTCTTTCGTTTATTGATGATTGCTTAACTGTTTTAAATCATTTAATTTTTATTTACTGTAGGTCAAACCTCAGTTTTCAGAAGATAAATGCAATGTAGGTAGAAAAAATAAAAAACTTATTACGAATGAAACTCTATGTCAAAATGCAAAAATTCATCACAATGCTTCGTGTAGCTTATTGAAGAAACGAACGAAATACAATCCATTGGAATTCATTCATATTATAGAAAACCTAAACAGTTGCGATTATTCAGAAAAAAATTTAGAAAAGAGGTTAATTTGTATTGCTGATCAAAAAGAAACTTGTGTCGTTGATTTTCTACATCTGAAAAATTTACCAACTGGGACGCCAATAAAGCTCCAAGATGTGTCGAAGGTTTCTCCAAGATCAAGTTGCAATAATTACAAAAAAAACTACCGAAATGATGAATTATCTCAAAAATCTAAACTCATAAGTAATTGGGAAATTGATAATTCATTTAAGAATAATCACGAAACTAATTATTTGTCGACTCTTTTCCCAGCTTCAAAAGAGAAGTTATCAGTTTCTTTAAATTCAAACGTTGTAGCTACATCGTTTATTTGTGAGCCTAATACTATTTCATTGGAACGTGATAATTGTAGCGTTTCTGTCCAAACTGTTTCCGCTGAATGGTTCAAGGAACATTTTTTCAATTCGTCAATAAATAACCACGATGTTGATAATATTGGAAAGTTAAGCTCGTTTCATTCTATTAATAGAGACGACAGGGATACAAAATCTGAGAAACCCCGATTCTTAAACAGCATGAAAAAAAACTTTGTCTGTGATACACCTCAATCTTTGTATGGCTTAACACTTAAGCAAAGACAGCTAATGAACTTGCCGAAATGTAAATAAAGCTCACAGAACAGGATTACTTTTTTTATATTTTTGAGTAAATTTTCTACTTTTTACATAATATTTCCTTGAATTAAACATTTCTCATTAATGCAATCACACCCACAAAGTATTTTGTATCATATTTAAGAAGTATATCCAGTGAAATTATTCAGATTAGTTTTACTCTAGAACATTTTGTTTATATTTTTAATAAAACTGCTAATAGATTTATAATTTTAGGAATTAAGATTTTGCACGTCTTAGAGAGCATTCAAATGTAAAATATTTTTTGACCAGCTGTTGTACATATATTTTTAAATTGTTAAAGGGACGTGCACCACCGCAAGTCCAAATAAAATTATAGGAAACTAGCACATAAAAGTTTGCGGTTAATTGTATTTGTACTTATATCATTTGGTCAATGTGTGTTACATGCTTTAGTCAAGATACAACATAGCGAAAAATATTGTGATCAACGAACTACCGTGCTTTATATAGTTTAACAAGAACTATTTGGATAAAATCTAGTTGGCGAATGCATTGGTTGAACGTTAAATTTCAATATTTAAAGAAAATAAAATACAGCTAAAGGAGCTGAATCTTAACTGAACTTCCTAAATGTACAGGTAAATCATAGGTGTAGCCAAGGGGTTTAAGAATTAAAATCTTTGAAATTAAATAAAATATTTTAAAATTTGATCTACTTTTTGTTTGTGCTTTTTTGCAGTTGCAAAAAATAGTCTTTGAGTGTTTATATTTGAACAATTGAATTGATGTTGTTATAACCGTGATACCGAACGCACTGGATTCTAGCGTATTCTGGAATGTTCTAGTGACTGGAGTATTCTAGAGTATGCTAGAATCGGACCATCTGGAAGAATCTAGAAACGACGCTTGCGAAGAGTATATAAGCGCACGTCGCAAGAAGATATTCGTGATTAGTAATATTCGTGATTAGTGATATTCGTGATTAGTGATATTCGTGATTTTGTGAATAGCGATTCGGTGAATTATTTAAAGCGATATTTGATTTGTTTGTTGACGTTGTCATAACGATAGATTTTGAAAGATTTAAAAGTTAATTGTTTCATTTGAACCCGTCGCATCGTAAATCTGTTACGACAGCGAGAATATTATAACATTGGTGTCAGAAGTGGGATCTTCGACCAGTGAATTACTACTCAGAGAAAAAGAACACGATGTCAAAACTGTGCGGTTTGAACGTAGTTCAGGTACGAGAAGAACTACAGAAACGAAGCCTTGTCACAAGTGGCAACAAAGAAGTACTAGTAGCACGTCTGAGAGAAGCTCTCATTGACGAAGGTAAGAACCCAGACGAATTCAAGTTAAAACAGATCAAAGAACAGTCCGAACGACAGTCCGAACGACAGACAGAAGAGTTAAAACAACAGATCAAGGAACAGTCCGAACAGATCAAGGAACAGTCCGAACGACAGACAGAGGAGTTGAAACAGATCAAGGACCAGCTAAAACACGAGGTTCAGCAGCAGAGGTTCTTCAGACGATTCCGGCAGAGAACCACTTCAACTATGAAGTTCTGGTTAACGCGTTGGACTTACGTTATGGTGAAGAGTGCGTAATTACAGTCGACACCGGAGCAACAAAATCGATTTTAAGATCTGATTTGGTACACAATCTGAAGAAAGAGACTTCTAACAAATACATCCTTCGAACAGCTACCGGAGGAACAGCACCAGTCTATGGAAAGATTCTCCGTACTCTTCAGCTAGGCGACTTGTTATCCGAAGGTTCATTTTTAGTCGCGGATATCATCGACGAATGCATAATAGGTGGCGACTTTCTGACAAAATATGGGTTCAAAATTGACTTAGAAAAACGCATTCTTAGATGGAAAAATACAGAAGTGATAATGGGGTATAGCGACGAAAAATGCATTCGAGTGACAGTCGATTATGACTTAGAACTACCTCAATCATCTGAAAACATCGTATGGGGCAAGTTGAATTGCGATCCTGGGGGCCACCAGTTCTATTTGATGGAGCCAACCTCAACGACAAATGTACAGAACGCGGTCATTGGAAAATGCCTGGTAGAAGCGAACAAAAATGGTCTTATTCCTGTCAGAATAATGAATACCGCTAAACACACTATTAAATTTAAAAAAGGTGAGGAAATAGGTAATTGCCAATCAATAAATTTGGTGAAATCATTAGATATGGAGCAACAGGAAAAGGTTCTACCAACTTTCAAAGGTAGACTCAAAGAACTTACCAAAAATCTACTGGATGAACTCAATTTGTATCAAGAAGACCGTCTAAAAGCCGAGGCGTTGATTGCCGATTTTGCAGACGTGTTTTCAACCGGTGACAATGACCAAGGTAAAACCGCTCTGGTAACTCACCGAATTGATACTCAGGATTCGAAACCGATCCGACAAGTACCACGACGTCTTCCTCTAGCAAAACAAACAGAAGTAAACGAAATGATAACGACAATGCAGAATCAAGGGGTCATCGAACCGTCATCAAGTCCCTGGATTTCGCCAGTTGTTTTGGTAAAGAAGAAGGACGGCACTACCCGTTTTTGCGTTGATTATAGGAAGTTAAATGATGTGACTAAAAAGGACAGCTATCCGTTACCGAGGATTGATGACATCATGGACACCCTATCTGGCTCAAGTTGGTTCTCCACGCTTGATTTGAAAAGCGGATACTGGCAAGTAGAAATCGACAAGAACGATCGCGAAAAGACAGCGTTTTCTATCGGATCGGGGTTGTGGCAATTCACCGTCATGCCATTTGGATTGTGCAATGCTCCAGCTACATTCGAGCGACTGATGGAATGTGTATTGCAAGGTCTTAACTGGAAAACCTGTCTTGTTTATTTAGACGACATAATTGTTCTAGGAAGAACATTTGATCAACACGTCGAAAACTTACGGGAGATCTTCACAAGACTTCGGGTGTCAAATTTAAAACTGAACGTTAAAAAGTGCAGATTATTTTCTAAAGAAGTTAATTATTTGGGACATGTGGTATCTTCAGATGGAGTTCGAACCGATCCCAGCAAGATAGAAATTGTGAAAGACTGGCCAACTCCAAAGGATAAAAATGAATTGCGCAGTTTTCTGGGATTGGCAACGTACTATCGACGTTTTGTAAAGGATTTTGCAAAAGTTGCCAGACCTCTCCACCAACTTACCGAGAAGGACCGAGTTTTCAACTGGAATACCCTATGCGACTCAGCATTTCAAAAGTTAAAAGTTGAACTATGTGATGCTCCTTTGCTAGCATATCCAGTTCGTGGCAAGACGTTTGTGTTAGATACTGATGCAAGTAACAACGGAATCGGAGCCGTTTTGTCTGAGCATATAGACGGAGAAGAAAAGGTGCTAGCGTATTATAGCAGAGGATTCACAAAGCCCGAACGACACTATTGTGTGACCAGGAAGGAGTTACTAGCAATAGTCAAAGCAACAAAACACTTCCACAAGTACCTTTATGGACAGATTCTTCTCCGAACTGATCATGCAGCGTTAAGATGGCTCCTCAACTTCAAGGATCTTGAAGGACAGATAGCCCGATGGATGGAGCGTTTACAAATGTACGACTTCGAGATCGTGCACCGCAAAGGAACAACTCATAGTAATGCTGATGCTCTCTCACGTCGACCATGTTTACCAGGATGCAAATATTGCTGTCGTCACGAGGAGAAGATACAATCGGAAGACATAAGAGCAACAACAATATCAGCGGATGACGGTTGGACACCGACGGATCTTGCTGATGCACAGTTTGCGAATAAGGACCTACAACATCTGATCACAAAACTGAGGGCAAGCAACCGGACTGGCAAAGCATCTCAGAATATAGTGCCGTGTTAAAGGGCTATTGGGCTCAGTGGGACTCATTATATTTGGAAGGGGATTTGCTGAAACGAAAATGGGAATCAGCTGATGGATCAAAACACCGCATGCAAGTTGTAATACCAAGAAGTAGAACGACCGAAATTCTTGATGAAATGCATGGCGGCCCTTCTGGGGGACATTTAGGAGTGAACAAGACCCTTGACAAAATACGAGAAGGATTCTACTGGTCTCACGTTAGAGAAGATGTAGAGAGCTGGTGTCAAAAATGTAACACATGCGCTTCAGTCAAAGGACCCAAAAAAAGGCTAAAAGGAGCAATGCAAATCTACAATGTTGGTGTTCCCTTTGAACGGATTGCTATAGATTTTGCTGGACCCTTTCCGGTATCAGATTATGGAAACCGTTACATTTTGGTTGTAGCGGACTATTTCAGCAAATGGCCTGAGGTGTTTCCAATACCCAACCAAGAAGCATGTACCGTCGCTGAGGAAATTGTACTCAATTGGATTAGTCGATATGGTGTCCCATTGGAACTCCACTCAGATCAAGGTCGAAATTTTGAGTCACAACTGTTTGCGGAAATGTGCAAGCTGCTGGGTATAAACAAAACTCGAACGACACCTCTTCACCCACAGTCTGACGGTATGGTGGAACGATTTAACCAAACCCTGATTGAACATCTGGCTAAAGTAGTCGACGAAAATCAACGGGATTGGGATCGTCATATACCATTGTTTCTTATGGCATACCGGAGTGCTATCCACACAACTACTGGAGAAACGCTATCAAAAGTTCTGTTTGGGACTACCTTAAGAACTCCAGCTGATGTGAAATATGGCGTACTACCTGAACCACACCAACCATTAACAGAATACGTGGATAATCTTCGACAGCGATTAAACCATATCCACCGTTACGTACGCCTTAAAATTATGAAAAACACGGAGGCGGCCAAAACCAGATACGACTTGAAAGGAAGCAGTGGCGGTTTTGCTGTCGACGAGTTAGTTTGGCTGTACAACCCACAGCAAAAGAAAGGACGTTCTTCAAAGCTCCAGCGAGGGTGGGAAGGACCTTATCAAGTCATCACCCGCTTGAATGACGTCGTCTACCGTATTCAGGAATATCGGTAGCCGAGAGCAAGAATGAAGATCGTTCATTTGGATAGACTGGCTCCGTACCATGCGGACACCGGAACGAAAGCTGTTCGGGACGAACAGAACTAAGAAGGGGGTAATGTTATAACCGTGATACCGAACGCACTGGATTCTAGCGTATTCTGGAATGTTCTAGTGACTGGAGCATTCTAGAGTATGCTAGAATGAGAATCGGACCATCTGGGAGAATCTAGAAACGACGCTTGCGAAGAGTATATAAGCGCACGTCGCAAGAAGATTCTTGATTAGTGATATTCGTGATTAGTGATATTCGTGATTAGTGATATTCGTGATTAGTGAAATTAGTGATTAGTGATATTCGTGATTAGTGATATTCGTGATTAGTGATATTTGATTTGTTTGTTGACGTTGTCATAACGATAGATTTTGAAAGATTTAAAAGTTAATTGTTTCATTTGAACCCGTCGCATCGTAAATCTGTTACGACAGCGAGAATGTTATAACAATATACTTAACTTGAGAATTGAACGTTTCTTAATTGTATTTGTGGCAAAATGGCAAATTTGAAATTTGATAGCGGCATGGGCCATAATAACAGTAATATAATGCTCATTCATGATGGGAATGAACTCACTGAGCTTTAACGACGTTGATATATTCAAAGCATAATAGTATACGTAACATCTTTCGCAGTCAAAGTTTATCATTATTGATAACATTAATAGTGGTAATAGTTAAGTGTGACCTAAGTTATGAGACTACGCGTGTAATATCTTTAAATATACGGGTATGCATTGTGCGTGCATAGGATGAATTATGTGCGTAGAGTGGTATGCTAACTTAAAATGAAGTTTGTTCTTGCAGTGGAAGCTAGTTCAATTTTAACAAAGCTTAAGATGTCTATTTGTTTATTAAATCACAAAAATCATTTTTCTAGTCTACGTTAACTTGAAAATTATCTACGGAATACTACGTCGGAAGATAGACTACAGAACAGAATACTACATCCGAATATAGACTAAATGAACTGGCTATAATGAAAATTAATTATATTTCAATCCAGCTGTTAGTTTTGTTGTAGATAGTTTATTTATTTTAAAGAAAAAAATTGTTATAAATTAAGTTGTACGTTATTTTTACTTTTATTCTTATAGTTTTAATATATTTTTGATATATATGTATACATTCATATTTGATGTATTTTCAATTTTTATCTTTTTTTAAGCAAGTTGCGTTTTCAGTGTTGAAATTAGGTAAAAAAAATAAAGAAAAATTTCTAAACCCCGCCTATTGAAAAGTCAATGATTTGGTAAACTTGTTGTTTTGAAGATTCGTTTACGACGGATAACTAGAAGAACATTTTCGAAATTTGTTCATTTATGACCAAATTTTCAATGAAAATCAAGAGAAGTAATTTAAATAAATTTAAGACAAGATGTGCATGGTGGTGGACGGTATTTTGAAAAATGTTCAACAGCTAGTTGACAAGCTACAAGCTTAAGTACGCGCTATGAAAATAAATCTCTTGCCTAATCATGCATTTGCGTATTAATTTGGAATTACAGCCAGCCAGAACCTAGCAAACGTTTTACAAAAATTTTCTAAATGTTAAAGGATCGCTAAAACTAGCAATGAATTAACTAACAAATGGCTTCATCGACGTTGTTCTGCGTAAAAAAGTTCGAACGATAAACTACTCGTCATTGGTTCACGTTCATCAAATGATTAAGATATTTCAAACAAAATAAGACGTAAAAATTTTTGTCACGTTAACAGAGTGAAAAAACGTGATGCGTCAGATATTATCAGTCACTCAAGACAATTAATATAGAAACTATATCCTGTTTTCCCTTCCTTCGTCAAATAACACCAATAAGATAACCAAGAGATCAGTCGTCCTTGTTAGTACGAACTTCTGCTACTAACAAGACACCTTGTTGTGAGTTAAAATAAATAAAACAAACACAAATCAGGCGTAATAAAATATTATCTTTATTCCCACGTGAATCTCGAACCGTTTCGTTTACTAGCTATCAGGAAAAAGGGAAGAAGTCGAGAGAGAGTAGCAAAGACATAAAATTTAACATAGATTAGGTAACATTGAAAATTGCAATGATCTTTAATAATTAATATATGAGATAGTTAATAAATGAATATTTGATCCCTACAATACTCCCCGACAAAAGGCGAAGCCGTTTAAAAATAAAAATATTCATTTCGTTTGTTGAATGTTATTTGCCTCCCTTTATTGGAGTGTTGGGTTGTTGGTTCGGATTTGGTTGACGTCGGTCTTGTTTCTTGTGTTGTTGTTGCGCCTGATGTTGGTATTGCTGTTACTGCTATTGCTGGAGATATTTCATTTTCATAATATTCCCCCGCAAGAGGCGGAGCCATTCAAATGGAAAAATGTTTGTTTTTTGAGTTGAATTTGATTTTTCCACTCTTCTTTGAAGATGTGGTTGTTGGTACTGATACGGCTGGCGTTTAACTTGTTTCTCGTAATGATGTTGCTTTTGTTGCTGATAATTTGGTTGACATTTATCTTGTTTCATGAGATGTTGATGATGGCGTTGTTGCTGAAAACGCGGTTGCCGTTTTTGTTGCTGGTTCAAATTTTGTTCTGGCCTCTCATGCAACCTTCTGTCCAGCTGCAAACGATTTCTAGAATGAGATGTGTGTGAGGACGATGAACTGTGCTCTGCTTTTCTATTTCTGTGATGATCTTGCTGCTGCTGAACAAGAGAATGAAGAGAGAGAACTGGAAGGAGAGAATCGTTCATGTGTAAATTTGCTGATGGGATGGTAGCATTCTGCTCAGCATTTTGCTGTTGTGATTGTTAAATGTCATTTTCATCTTTGTTCTTGCTCAGGACAAATTTTATTTTATTGAACTCTTCTGGTGGCTGCCTCTCTTCAATTTTGTTTACATTTATAAGATTCAAATTTATTTTAAAAGGTTCTTTTTCTTGGAATTGCTCTGGTTTGGTTTGTTTAAACGTTGATAATAACTCTGCTTTTAGAGCGTCGTAATCTGTTCCTCTTTGCACTTTTAATGACAAATTTGAGACTATATCCAACGGCAGGGAAATTATTACGTGATGGAATCTTGTTGTTTTACACATCACGTTTCGCAATTGAAATTGCATTTCGGAATTCTCGAACCAATCTGTTGACGCTGTTTTCTTGAAAAGAGGTAATATGGCGATCGGGTCATCATTTGGTTGGAACATTTTGTTTTCGTTTTGATCTAACCACGTGGATCTTCGTATTTCTTTTTACGTCGGATTTTCGTTCAAAATCACGTGGGATTTTCGTTCAAATCACGTCAGGTTTTCGTTCAAATCACGTTCAGGCGTAATAAAATATTATCTTTATTCCCACGTGAATCTCGAACCGTTTCGTTTACAAGCTTTCAGAAAAAAGGAAATAAGTCGAGAGAGAAACAAAGACATAAAAGTTAACATAGATTAGGTAACATTGAAAATTGCAATGATCTTTAATAATTAATATATGAGATAGTTAATAAATGAATGTTTGATCCCTATATCCTCTTCATTTCAGTGTAGCTTCCTGACCAGAGTTTGTACTGCTGTACCATAGGCACATTGAATTAAGCACTGACCAATCATAACAAAACTATGGTTCATGGCTTTAAAACAACAAATTTAAACATTAATGCCACAATCTATCGGTTTGGTGATAAAACAGTACAAAATAAAACAAAACATGATAAAATAGATCGGATAAAACGGCTTTTTCACTTACCATTACAAATAAATAAATGAAAGTGCTGAAGAATAGATCAATTCTAAAATAAATGTTCTGTTTTATAGCTGTTCTGTTTTTTTTTTGTTCTATTCTGTTCATATCATGGAGTATGCACAAAATGCCCCAGATCATGTAATCACGTCTCCATTATTTATATATATATATATATATATATATATATATATATATATATATATATATATATATATATATATATATGTGTGTGTGTGTGTGTGTGTGTGTGTGTGTGTGTATTATTCAGTATTATTACTCGTGTCATTCCTGTTACTGAATTTGATAAAAAGCATCTTGGAAGCTGTTAAATCCGTTATGAAAAGTAGTGTATGCATTATATTTATGTAAGACAAACGTCCAAATGAATCAATCATTGTACAACCTTGGTGGCCCAGGATCGGTGAATCTTCCAGATCATGTCATTTAAGCATTCCTTGTATTTGACTATGTGCAATTGTGCATGCTGTCGAATGGCCTGATGTACGACAATTCAAGCTTACAAATTTTACAGCTGATGCATTTGTAGCGACGATCATATACAACATCACTGCTGCCGAGGTATTTCTTTCAGCATTTGGTCAAGATTCGTATTGTCCAACTTTTTTGTTCAGATGACTACATTGACAAAAACATTTGATAGCCAATTATGTCAAATCAATCAATTTTCGTGTAGCGTCCAGAGACCCAGTTTTTCGAGGTAGGACGTTGTTTTTTTGCCATCAACTTTTGCGCCAAATTAGACGATCAGTTGTATCCATTTCATTTAAATTTGGAGCTTTCATGTCTTGCTCGATTGTTTGAGACCAGGACTTCTTTGGACGGCCTTTGGGACGTGTGCCAGGTACTCCAACATCTGCAAAAGAAGTTATGGCACTGTATCCACTTTGTTTGACATGACCAAACCAACGCAGACCGTGTTGCCGGCATTCGTCCTTTATATCATCTAAACTAGAACGACGCAAGATTTTGGTAGATTTGATGTGGTCCAGTTTGATTGTCATTGGCCATGTTTGTGCCCCATATAACAAGACCGGACGTATCATAGATTTATAAAGTCTTGATCGTAGTGGTAGTGGGATGTCACGCCGCATCAATATAGAGGTAATGAGATGCCATTTATTCCAGGCTGCACGTATGCGTGCTCGAACGGCAGCTTCAGCTGTTCCAGCACAATCTAGAACATTTCCTAGATATTGAAACGATGTCACTTTCTCTACCTTAATGGCTTCAAAAACAGTGCTATTTTGAATTTGTTGTTGTGGATTGATGCAAGCAGGACAAAAAAATTGGACACTTTAGATAAAGTACCAATTATTTTTGAACAACGTTTGTGACACCACTGGTTACACTGCTGACATTAGATTGAATTGTTACCTACACCAGCTTTACAAACTGAACAGGGCCATCGTCCAGTAGCTGTGGATTGGATGGATTCACCAGTGTTCATTGCTTTGGTTTTGCTGATGTTGACTTTGAATCCATGATCGGCGAGTCTGGTGTTCCAATCTTCAAACATCTGTGCTGCATTCTGCTCAGACGTGGCTGTTAAAACGATATCATCAGCATATATTAGATTCCAAATGTCACCAGTGCGTATCGGTTTTGTTATTTCTTCCATCACAGTTATAAATAACAGTGGACTGAGAATCGGGCCTTGGTGAACTCCAACGCCGATGTCAAATTCATCTGTGTTTCCAACCGTTGTGCTGACGAGAGTCTTAGTATTCATATACATTTCCATCATAAGTCGAACAAGATATTTTGGAATGAGTTGTCGACGTAGACTCCATCTGATTGTTTCACGGGGAACTCGATCAAATGCTTTATCAATGTCTACAAAAATGTGTGATAGTTGTTGATTTCCCCGCTAGGAAACCAAATTGATAATTTCCGATTGTGATGCACGACGTTAATCTTCTCTCAATGATTTTTTCGACAATTTTCATAGAGTATTCTAATAGACGTATACCCCGATATAATGAACAGTCATGCTATAGTTCTATTCAGTCGGCATTGAGCAATTTCTCCACACTTCACGGCAAAGTTGTAGTAACGTTTGGATACCTGCAGTACCAGATGCTTTGATAATGTCATTTGTGAGTCCAGAGGGCCTTGCTGCCTTTCCATCCTTCATAGCTTTCAGAGCTTCTTTAAGCTCCTTTACATTTAACAGACGGTTGAAGTATTCTCTCCACTGTAGCTTGATCTCATCTTGTTCAAGAACCATCTCATTTTTGTCGTTTTTGACACATGAGGCACCAACAATGTCTTTTTTCGTACGCTTTGCTTGTTTTGCTATACGACACAGAGATTTCATTTGTTCACCATTGCTTTTAGTGAGCCACTCTCCGCACTGATCCGTTCGAGCCAGTGCGACTTGGCATCTGCATAGTTGTTCTTCTCACGGAAAATTGTATAATCATCAACAGACTTTGATTTTTGCCATTGCTTGTATGCAGCTTTTTTTCAGCTATTGCATTTTGTACACTGTCATTCCACCACTAAGTGTCCCGTTCATGCTGACGTTTTGTACCAGTTTTCCCCACAAACTTTAGTTGCAGCGTTTATCAAAACGGTTTTGTATGTACTCCAATCTGTACTGGCTTGCGATTGGTTGTCTAACCGTGTTGCGACAATCTGTTAAAATTTTTCTCTATGAATATTGCTTTTTAGCTTCCAAGTTTTGATTCTCAGAGGCATTTGTTTAGACTTATGTTTTGACAGTTCGACAACCAGGTCTGCCACAAGAAGTCTATGTTGGGCGACATATGATTCGCCAGGTAGAACTTTGACATTTTTGAATAGCCTTCGGTGTTGTTGTTTGACAGCGAAGAAATCAATTTGCGTGGCTGATGGTCCACTTTTGTATGTTATGAGATGTTCCAACCTCTTTCTAAAATATGTGCTCAGTAAACAAAACCCGTGACTTTCAGCAAACTCAAGGATGCGGTTGTCATCTTCATTCCGTTCTCCATAGCAAAAACCGCCATGTACGTTGTCAAAACCATCTGTTTTCTCTCCAACGTGGCCATTGAGATCGCCTCCAATCAGGATTGTTTCAGATTTTGGTATTGTTGAGATGGTGTCAGAGAACGCAGCCCAAAAGTCATTTTTCATCTTTTCTGATTCGCCTGTCTGAGGTGCGTATGCAGAAAAAAATAATCATTGTTTGTTTCTCTAGGCGAAGCTTGATCCACATTATACGTGAATTAATCTTTTTAATATCCAGTACTTCTTGGGCTACATAATAGCCAATTATTTATTCTAAATAAAAAATAAACTTGTATATAACACCAAATATATGCTATGCACTTGCATGTTATTATGGCAAAGTAAAAGTATTTAGTTTTAGTGAGAAATTTGACATTGTTTGTGTATATGTAAGTACTCTATAATGCTCGAACATTTGAAGTTGCTATACGTAATAAGACTATCAAACGTTCATTTTTAAGTGGAAATCTTGACTTTTCATTCTTGAGAACAGTTGTTCACAGCAATAAGTGCTACCAAACAAAGCCATAAACTTCTTTCAGACGATATTTAATACTTGTAGAAGGTTAGCAGATCATGTTCCATAAAAGATTTCTTCAACTTACTCTTATTCTGAATATCAATAAGCTCCATTAGGTGTAGGTTAGCAACATCAGTGAGATCAACATCACATGGACTACTCAGCAATTTTATAGTCATCGTGTTTTTAAAATCCTGAAACCTTTCATGAAAATCATAAATCAGTTTGGAAAGTAGTTCATTACACTTTGCATGCTGCACTGTGTACAGGTCTTATGGAAAGAACTGCATAATGTATCGCTTTTTTCGGAGCCATCTGTTTCTGAATTAGCCTTAACTTCTCATACAATTTGTGCACAAGCTGGTCTTTTTCTTAAAGCCTAACATTCAATTTAGACAATTATTTTGTTATATCAATCAAAAAAGCCAAGTCATTCAACCAGAAGTTATCAAAGAACGATACATCCTTCCCTTTGTTTGCCATGATTGTCTTTATTTTTGACGTAAATTCCAGAATCTGGATAACGTGGTTGACTTGCTAAGCCACCGAACTTGGCAAAAGTAAATTACATCATCATGGTCTGAACCCACTTCAACAAATGATTTAAACTTCCTCTGGTTATAGGATTTCTTGATCTGATGAAGTTTACAGCTGACAACTTTTTCCATCACATGTTTCATGTCAAGGGTCATGACACCCAAGTTTTCTTGGTGAATGATGCCGTGGTGCGTAATGATATTCTGGGGCACTGATTTTGCCATATTTTTACCTGTCATACATGGCGCCCCATCAGTTGTTACACCAACAAGTTTGTTTTAAGAAAGCTGGAATTTTTCCATTGCCAGAAATTGCTTCCTTTCCAGCTTTTGATTTTCACTGGGCAAATTTCCAACGTTTCCTTGACTATGACACACGTTTCTGTAAATCTATAACAAGTATTGCCAGTTGAGCGGTTTCACTGATGTCTGTGCTCTCTTCAGCTGCTAAACTGCATTATTTACAATTTATAAGTCTCTTGATCAAGGTGTCTTCAATATTCTTGGCCATATCGTCAACTCTTCTACAAATAGTTTAATGAAAAACACTCCCGTTTTCCACCAAAGACTTTATAGCTGGGCAAACAACATCCGTTAATTTTTTAAAATCAGTTTTTCCCCAGCTCTCCATCAGAAAATGGTATTTCTCTTTTGACTATAGCTTCCGCAATTAAATAGCTAAAGTTTGTTGCTGCTTCGGCACCCTGGTTGCCAACGTTATAGAATGACTGTTGACCAACAGTTTCTGGTTTGATCGAGTTTATGCAATCAGTTCGTGTTTGACCCACTACACTATCAAATTTACTGCCTTATTTAGAGGAGTAATGTCGCTTGATGTTGTTTTCCTTGTAGTTGTTTCTTGACAAATCAGACACAAAATGACATCGGCATGTTGCACAACAAAATAGTCTTCTGACCACAAACTTTTGAAAACGCGATTTTCATAATCAATTTTACGTTTTTTTTACCGGCGGACGCCATAACAACGTCCGCTTGTTACGTTTTTTTTTTGTTGTTTACTGCGTCGTCATAGAAACTTTTTTTAAATGAATAGCGGTGTAGCGCAATACAATTATTGTTTTAATTCTTAAGCAATAAGGGCGCAGTGTAATAAAGGCGCGGTCAAAAAAGGCGACACAATAATGGTGCAAAGCATTGGGCGCAAGACAGAAAGGTCCGAGTCATGAGGACGCAATTTCTGAAAATTGCATAATACTTTTATTCACATATCGTCAACGTTTATCTTTTATTATTGTGTTTAAGTTATTTTTGTAGGGATTTTAATTGCGATATTCAAAGGTTTTTAGATTTATTTCCATGTAATTCAATTTGAATAGTAGGTCAAGTTAATGCACTTATATTATTTTATACATAACAAATTATTATTAATTAATTATTTGATTGAAGTGATATCAACAATATTAATGATTTTGTTACTGATTTTATGAATTATATTTATAGTAATTTTTTAAATGACGTAAAAGTGAGTTTAGAATGGATATTCAATTGTGACTTTAAAAGCATGGTTACATTGGCACTCATACTTTCAAACTCGGTAGCACGACGTTATCGTACAGGCGTGCTACTCAAAACTCTAGGAGTACATCACACGAACAATCCGTGAAATGACATAGCATGCATTTGAATCCGATAACGCATAGTAATCCTTAAAAAAGTCTATCACTTAAACCATTACGCCCGTAACGTAATTCGATTTAATTTTGATTTAATAATTCAACAAATATTTTTAATTTTAAGATGCTGGAAAATGTTGCAATAAATTACCTTTTATCCAGTATAAATTATTAATCAATAGCATTAAATATTATTATTATTTTTTGATTTAAACTTAACTTCCAAGCGCCCTCATTAATCCCGCCTTTATAGCTCGCGCCTTTTTTGTTTTGCGCCCTTTATGTATGCGTCTTTTTTTGCCCCCGCCTTTTTACACTCCCCCCTTATTTCGCGCTCTTTTTTGTCTTGCCTTTTTTTTCGGTGAGCAAAAACCTTTGGCGGACCAAATTCTGGTCCCCGGGTTGAACAAACCTGGTCAAGACCTTTTTAGAAAAGTTTTTAGGTAATGCAGGGCAGCGGTGCGTAGAAATTTTCACATCAATATCACAGACGTTCTGGCCACTGCCAAAGTTCAACGTCTGCAGCAAATTACAATGTTCGATATAGTACCTAGTGGTCATGAGAGAACCTTCTCGTTCAAACAATGTGCACTTTGCAGCCAAACTCTTAAAGGTGTGGACATTTAATTTGCCGCTGATATCAATACTGACGACACAGAATCTGATGTCACAGTGCAGCACGAAGTCATCTTTATAACTAGGTTGCGCTTGACATTGGAAATAAAGCGACTGGTGCAGCATTGTTATTTGAGTTCTTAAAGTTCTTAAAGTAGCTACACCGTGTTGGTCTTACAAAACCTACATTGCCAGCTACGTTCTTTGTTCATAGCACTGTGCATCTCATGTCAGCCCTGCCAGGGTTTAAACGTAACTGCAGATTTTACAAAGCAAAATATATTGATGCTCTAGTTGCTAATGACGAAACAACTTGTTAAACAATGACTTGTTTGATGAAAGCGGAAGTTCTTGATGAAAGTGATCGGGAAAATGAGTTGGGCTGTTTACTACGATGGTGGAAACTTTCAAATGAATCTAAAGTTGTTACACTTAAAAAAACAAAACAGTTATTTTATAGCCAACAATTAAATTGATAATAATAATTAATTAATTAATAATTACAGTTATGAGAGGTGGTACAGGCAAAATATTGTGATCAAGGCTGTAGCCAGGATTATTTTTCGGGGGCTGTCGGAATACTTTATTTTATAGTTAAAACGAGAGGACGATTAATATGTTTAAAAGTGAATTGCTATGAAGACTGTTATTTATTAAAATTATTATTAAGGCTTTAACGTTAAAATACTGAAAAAAGTTTTAAAAATTTAATAAATTATAACATCTTTTTAACTTTGGTCCTAGGCATGACATAAAACTGCACCCACGCTGCCTTGCGTGCTTTTGAGCAAAAGGCTAGGCCCACCGCTTATAACCGGTGGTTGTCGTCAGGATGGGTGTCCGGATGTAAAAACTTTTCCCCAAATTATTCCTATGCCATCACAAAGAAAAACAACGGCCTCTAGTCCCCATCAGGCATTAAGTGGTCAAGGGGTGCCAAGAATCTCTGGGAAGTATGCAATAGCGGAGGGATGTTGCAAAAATTTCAGAATGGCCACTCTATGGTACTTCGTACATGGAAATCGCAAAAACGCTCGAGCGTAGAAGGATTGACATCTGCTGCCTTCAGGAAACCCGATGGAAATCGAATGGTGTTTGTCATGTCAACTCAGACAAAGAAAAATATAAACTATTCTGGAATGGTCAAAAGGCGAGAAAGGGTTAAAAGTTAATTTTGGTAAGACGAAGGTAATGGTGAATGAGGAAGGTGGGGAGCGAGTGATAATTAAAATAGACCCCTGTGGGGTATGTGACAGGAGAGTGAAGGTTAACTCGGTATTGTGTATAGGATGTCAGAAGTGGGTGCATAAGAGATATAGTGGTGTGAGGTGGGCACTGAAAAAGGTGGAAGGCACGTTAAAATGTAAAAAATGTGTTCATGGTGTGATTAATAGGACGGACGAAAGGACGGGGTTGAGTGGTGGTATTGAAAGAGTGGAAAGCTTTGTTTATTTAGGGGTTAAGCTGAACGCGGATGGAGGATGTTTGAGCGCTGTTACGGCAAGAGTTCGTGTGGGATGGATGAAATTTAGGGAACTGGGTGGGGTATTGTAGGGAAAAAAATGGTCAGTGAAGATGAAAGGAAGGGTATATAAAGCATGTGTGAGAGCAGCGATGTTATATGGTGGTGAAACTTGAGTGTTGAGGAGAAAGGAGGAAAGTGTACTGCAGAGGGCTAAAAGAGCTATGGTGAGGATGATGTGTGGGGTTAAAATGAAGGATAGGAGTAGTACAGAGCTGATGTCGATAATGGGACTGAATGACGACATTGTGACTTTGATAAGGAGATCGAAATTACGGTGGTATGGACATGTGTTAAGAAGGGTTAGGGTTAGGGAAATTATCAATTTGGTTTCCTAGCGGGGAAATCAACAATTGATGCAATTCACATCCTGCGGCAACTGCAAGAAAAGTATCTCGCAAAGCATCAACAACTATCACACTTTTTTGTAGACCTTGAAAAAGCATTTGATCAAGTTCCCCGTGAAGCAATCAGGTGGAGTCTATGTCGACAACTCATTTTTCGAAAATAATTGGTACTTTATATAAAGTGTCCAATTTTGTTTGTCCTGCTTGCATCAATCCACAACAACAAATTCGAAATAGCAATGTTTTTGAAGCCATTAAGGTAGAGAAAGTCACATCGTTTCAATAACTAGGGGATGTTCTAGATTGTACTGGAACAGCTGAAGCTGCCGTTCGAGCACACATACTTACAGCCACTATATTGATGCGGCGTGACATCCCACTACCACTACGATGAAGACTTTATAAATCTGTGATACGTCCGGTGTTGTTATATGGTGCAGAAACATGGCCAATGACAACCAAACTGGAACAACAACTTCAACAAAATGCTCCGATGGATGCAACGAATTAGTCTGAAGGACCACGTCAAATCTACCGAAATCCTGCGTCGTGCTGGTTTAGATGATATAAAAGACGAATGCCGGCAACACCGTCTGCGGTGGTTTAGTCATGTCAAACAAAGTGGAAACAGTGCCATAAATTCTCTTGCAGATCCTGGCACACGTCCTGGTCGCAAACAATCGAGCAAGACATGAAAGCTCTAAATTTAAATAAAATGGATACAACTGATAGTCTAATTTGGCGCAAAAAGTTGATGGCAAAGAAAACAACGTCCTACCTCGGGAAACTGGGTCTCTGGACGCTAAACGAAGATTGATTGATCTTTTTAACTTTCATCAATTATTTAATTATTTTGTAGGGTTAACATAATAGTTTCAGTATTTTTTAAAAGAGATAGTTTTTACCTTGTAGGCATTCAAGTAAACTCACATGCTTCAATCAATCAATTAGCTTGTAAAGCGCTATTTCCGCGATGTTCAACAGCGCTCCTCAATGAATTTTGCAAACTGATGGATCTTGAGATCCGCTCTTGTCTTCGTAAGTGATAGAGAAGTAATCAGAGAAGTAGGTTGTGAGTTCCAGAGAAAAGGGCCAAAAAAGTTTGCATGGTTGTGTGCGTAGGAATTAAAATAAACGTTCATGCAATTATATTTTCACGTATTTTAACATTTAATTTGACAAGTAGGCATTAAAATAAACTTCCATGCATTTTTTGCAAGTATTTTACCATGCAATGCAATTTAACGGATAAGCATTAAAATAAACACATAATTAATGATTGTTACCAAAAATTATCAATGTAAATTATTTCGGGGGGCTGCAGCCCCCAGCTCTCCCCCTAGCTTGGTTGTGATAGTTCCACGTGTATACAATATATTACTTAACATTAACAAAAATTCAATAAATTATAGAAAATTTAGGAGGTTATATTAAAAAACAGTAAAAATTGACAAATTTTTTAACAAAATGTGTTTGTTTTTAATAAAATATTTTAATTTTAATAAAAACGATTTTGTTTATACCAAATTTTACGTTATATGGTGAAGTGAATTGACTTCTATGTAAAAGAAACCCAAGTTTCGCGATAAACCCAATTTAATTTTGTACGTATCAGAGTTTGAAAACTTTGCCGAAACCAAATCCAAACTGATGGTTATCCTTCAACTACCTAAAAAGAAAAATGATTTCGACAAAATTTATCAAGTCATTAACTTTTTGTAGAGCGATTTTGAGTTTATAAAAAAAACGTCATATTAAATGTTCATAATATTAATAATAATTGCTTTGAACTTGCTATAATATAAACTAAGTTGTCATTCGCTTAACAACGACAACAGAGCACCATCTAAAATCATATACACAAATTTCATCAGCATATAAAAACATTCTCTGCGAGGTAATCTGCGTATCGACCAAACTTCTTATCGTCAATGCCTAGGATAAGAATTTTCTAAAGTGTTTTCTACTAATAAAGATCGCCAATCCGCCAAGCATGAGTATAGCTTATCTGTATTTTACAAATTTGTTTTCAAAATTGTTAAATTTACAACATGATTAGTTCCATTTTAATGATTTTTGTATTTTTTAGTACTAACAATTTTCAGGGTGATTATTGATTTACATAATTATACATATGTAACATCATAAATGTCATAATAGTAGTAATTGATAAAACAGCTAAATTATCTCTAAGAAACTTAAATGACGATTGATATTTCGCTAAATATTTTTTAAATAAAAATTTTAAATATATTTGGATTTGATTCTTCTTCGTTGGTGTTGACAGCCGAAAGACAATTATTTGAACTGGTACTTTTGAATGACAAAAATAACAGGTTCAATCAATCAATCAATTAGCTTGTAAAGCGCTATTTCCGCGATTTTCAACAGCGCTCCTCAATAAATTTAAAAAAAATAAGGGTCTTGAGATCCACTCTGAACTTCGTAAGTGATGGAGAAGTAGTCAGAGAAGTAGGTAAAGAGTTCCAGAGAAAAGAACCAGAAAAAGCAAAAGCAGATTTAGCAAAAGAGTGTTTAACACGAGTTAAGAAGAAGCGAGAACAAGAAGACGATCGTAAACCGGGGCGTTTAGGTTCAATTAATATATCTGATAAGTACTTGGGAAATAATTTAGGTTGAGACTTATACAGAAACGTGCAAATTTTAAAAATTATTCTATATTTTATCGGTAGCCAGTGCAAGAGAACAAGATATGGAGATATATGAAAAAAGAAAGGGGCTCGAGCAACTAGACGAGCAGCAGAGTTGAAAGCTTTACTCAAAGGATAGAGTATAGAATCAGAAAAATCATAGTAGAGCGAGATACAATAATCAATCCAAGATAAGACTAACAAAGAAGGAGAAGAGTAGGATCATCAAGAAAAGGCAAAAGTTTTTTTTATTCTACGTAGATGAAAGTAAGAGCTTCTAGCGACACTATTAATTTGAGAAGAAAGAGACATATTAGAATCAAAGATAAAACCTAGGCTACGAAACTTGTGAGAGACATCAAGAGTTTTAGAATCAGGTAAGATAATAGGAAGAATAGTAATAGAGTGTTTAGATTTATTAAAACAAATTAATTCAAACTTAGAAGGATTAAGTCAGACCAAGCGATAATTGAAGAAAGACATAGAGATAGATTATGAAGAACACTATTAAGATTAGATGGAGGAAAAAAAGTATAAATATAAAAATCATCAGCATACAGTTGACCAGAGAAAGAAAATTTATTAATAATACGAGGTAGTTCAGAG